TGGGTGTGGCGCAGGGTGGTCCTTGGGTGCAAGTGGCATCTGTGTGTTGGGGAACGAGGTTGTGAGTGAGGCGAGAGACATACCTGGTGCTGGAAACGTGCGACATTGGTCGCTGTATGCTCGTACTTCGGGAAAGCTGTTGTCATCCTCATTCGGCATTGTAGTCTAGGCTAGATAGGATCTGCCATCTGTAGTCTGGGCGCCGAGCGCCAGATAGGATATCAACATTGGTTCTTCATTGATGATGATGATGAGACTTTACCAGCATTGTCAATTATGAGCTCTTGGAGTCTTGGTGTCTTCTTATTTGGTGAAACTCGTGATGCAATTTTGCTGTTGGTTCGAGGTCACAACTATCTGGTCTTGTGTATATAATGCTCTTTGATTGCTGAAGTTTGCTATTGCTCATCTCCCTTGCATCTTCAGTTCCGTGAGGAATTCTGATGTGACCCTCAGCCAAAAGTTGTTTTTATTGCAATTCTACACAACATATTTGTTTCCCAGATTTTTCTGGATTTTCTTTTTTTTTTTCTTTGCGCTCGGGCTGCCCGGGACCATGCCCGGCCGGGCGCCCGGTCGCCAAACCGGGTGTGACGTCGGGACCCGGTCGCCCAGGATATCTCCCTAGACCTGTGCATATTACACACCCTGCAGACTACCAATGAACAGTGAGCACCAAAAAGAAGACAAGACCGACATTGATGTCGACTGCTCCACGTCCTCTGACAAGTCATACAATGTTAGTCCCAGCAGCGCGGTCCATGCATGTTCAGGGTTTACTAGGATACTTCAAGAGAACAATAGAAAACCCAACCGCATGATCACAAAGGATATGATCACACTCGATACCATTTGCATAGAGTATGGCATCCATAGCAATCAGGAATGCACTCATCAGAGTGCTCACATCAAAACAGTTGATGAATCAAATTGCAAAGAACATCAATTGAAAGTTTGAGAMAATCAAAACCAGTCASCATAAGAAAWCCATCACCAAACTGAAACAATCAGAAGAATCCTTGGGGGTGTACCAGGCTGCTGACCCTATGGCAGACACCCATAACTATTGCTTTATTGTCCATGAGTTCAAAGCACTGCTAAAATACRGTGCTAAGGAGTTGMCCAGGAGCTTKTCRCCCTCTTTTTTATTATCAGAATCATTCATGGGGAGAGGGGAGGTGGAGGAAACAAGAACACTTGAGGATGCCACATACCGTTTCCTGGGGAACGATGCTTACAAGCTGGCGGAGGCGCCTGAGAGTGAACTCCCTGATATCTTGGCCATCAAGGAAGATAACGCCTGCAAATTACATCCTCCACACACAACTCCCCTTACTTCAAGACAATCCAGTGTGGTGGCACCCAAGAAGTAGGGTCTACACATGCAACCGCCCAACTACACCAGACAGCTAATAGCATGAACATGGGAGCTCAAGCATGCCTTTTTAACATTCTCCATTGAAACATAAATAGCAGGCAAGCCATCACCAATGGTAGCCCATTCTGCTGCTAGTTCCACCACTCGCCCAGAGCTCCTGGATCACCCCACGGTCTTCCTCACCTTGTTGAAAACATGGGAAAGCAAGGAAAAGTTAAAAATGATGGGCAAAGGGTGGATATGAAAGGCAAGAACAGAGAAGAACAGCACTCTCTCTGACTTCCCTCTCTTGCACAAGCGAGACCACATCTATGAGCACACGTGAGAGACGAAGTGCGGAAGGCAAACAACCGGCATGGCAACGGGGATGGAGGAAGGGAAGGCAGAGAAGGAAGCATGAAGAGAAGTGGAGAGAGAGAGAGAGAGAGAGAGAGAGAGAGAGAGAGAGAGAGAGAGAGAGAGAGAGAGAG